GGTATCTGATGGGGAATGCTCAAGGCCCAAGCCTCTACAGCCGGAGGAGGGCCTGGAAGAGCCCCTAGGACCTTCCAGGACCCTCCCGCTGTACCTTTCGTTGTACTCTCGGCGGCGGGCCTCTCCTCCAGGGAGTTCTTGCTCATTTCAAACAGGAGCCACTGGTGCAGCCAGCCCTCAAAGGCCTAACGGGACCAGGAAGGAGAGGGTCACGCCTGCCCTGTCCTTGACAGATTGCAGGAGTCTGAAGGCCACCCACAAGCTGACCCCCCTTCAAGGCCAGTGCACTTCAGGCCCCTTGCAGAGGTGGGGAGTCTCCTGAACTGGAACTCAGCGCCCTCCCCCCCCCACCCCCCCAATCCCCACCTATGCTCCGGAAAGCTGCTGACCTGCCATTCCAGGGTCCCCATGGTGTTCTTAAGGTGCTTCAGGTTGTCTGGTAAGCTGTCCTTCAGCTGCGGGTACACTTTTGTGGGGTCAGACCTCTGTGGGGCAGGAAGGGAAAGTGTAAAAGAGCTCCCTGGCAGGCAGGGTAAACACGCAGCAGCCCATGCTCCCCTGGCCTGCACGCGGGATCCAAGCTGCACCACGCCCGGGCTCTGAGCCTAGGCTCTGCCTGGAGATGGGGGAGAGGAGGGACACTGCCACTGCACACAGCCCCTACCCCATGGCTAGTAGGCACTTAGAGACCGGGGGTTCCAGGCCCAGGATTGCTGGTACTCCCCTGCCCCTGCCCTAGCCTTCTACTGCTCCCTGACATTACTCATCTTTCAGATGTCACCTCCTCCAGGGAGACTTCCTTAACCTACTCCAGTTAGGTCAGGCCCCCTGCTAGCCTGAGACCCCCCTGGGCCACAATGGGGGAGTCACTGGGCCCAATTACTCCTCAGTGTGGGCTCGGAGCCTGGGAGCTTGGACTCGCGGTACAAAGCTGGGCGGGACGCGTCCGAGCCCGAGACATCTAGGCCTTGACTCCATCTCCAAGCTACATGAGCCGCCGACATTGGTGCTCCAAGCCACACCTGCGTCCCTCCAGCAGTGCGCTGAGCACCTGGGCAGAGCACTCCCAGGCAGGTCTGCCCGAAGGCCCCACTCACCAGCAGCATGTGCATGACGTGGTCCTGGGGCATGTTGCCGTACTTGGTGGCATTCTGTGTGGGCTGCGGAGAGAAGGCCAGCAGGTTACCAGCACTGGGAGGAGCAGGAGGCAGCAGTCTGGAGCCCCAGGCACTCAACAAGCCAGTCTCCAAACGCGAGCTCTTGAGCAAGTCTCTTTAGCTTGCCTCCGACATCCTCGTTGGACAAAGGTGCCTCACCCGGCCTGCCCGCCTGTGGGGCTTGGTCAACCGCAAGCCATGTTGTGGGCAGACACATGGTCGGTGCCTGGCACCAGGCGGTATCAGAATGGGAAGGGACAGCAGGATGCCCCAGAAAAGAGAGGCACTCTGTGGGGAAAGGCCTCTTCTGCTGAGGTGGCCCCTGCTTCTACCTACAGTCAGAAAGCCCCCTCAGCCCGAGTGCCCCCGCAGCCCCTACTTCCACTCACACTGAGAACCACCCCACCCCACCCCCGTTGTCCTTACCCCCTGGGGCAGGCCTTCCAAGGGCAGCGGGCGCATCAGCATGGGGGCGGCGAACCGCATCTTGTTCACCGGCATGGGCGCTGTGGGGACAGACCAGTGAGGGTGGTCGCAGTGCCCAGGGAGATGGGGGCTCCCAGCCCAAGTGCAGAGGGCCCGGAGTCCCCCACTGAAGGGAGGGAGAATGAGGGTCTCTCAGGTTTGGGTGGGGGAGTTACGCACGCTTGGGAAGCTTCATGCGCAGGCTCTCCAGCTGCAGCTTCTGCGAGGTGACCATCAGCTTGTCCACGCGGCCCTGCTGCTGGTACAGGAAGTAGGCAGTGGTGGCCTGGCCAGCCAGGAGCAGCGCCACCAGGATGGAGAAGCCAGTGTAGAGGGCCCCACGGCCGCACATGCTGTTGGAGAAGGGGAGAGGGTCAGCAGGAGCCAAGGAGCCAGCTGCACCATGGTTGGCCGGGAGAGGCACCCACTCTGAACACCAAGGGGAGCTGACAAAAGTGCAGCCGGGAGACAGACACTCAGCCACTGCTTCCCCGAGAGCACCCGGGACCCCGCAGGTGGACTCAGCAGGGAGAGCCACACGGCCTGTCTGGCCCCAACAAGCTGCCCTCTCCAGACCCTGGCATCCCAGGTACCCCAGGTGACCTAAAAAATCAGGGCTGCCCTCCAAGGGAGGGGGGCCCTTTCCACCCCTGCCCTGCAGTGAAATCAGATTTCAAGAGGAAAGGGAAGTGGGATGGGGGGGGGGACAAAGACGGTGGCCCCCTGAAAAGGAGAAGTGGGACTGTGGTATTTTAGGAGGGAAGGATGGGGTGGTGGTGGACATACTAGCCCTACCCCACCCCCCACGGCACCTCTTCTGCCCCAGATTCTCCACCCAGAGCCCCTGCCTCATTTGCCTCATCTGCTACATGGGGACCGCTTATCTCAGCAGGTCTGGGTCTGGGTGGGCTTTTATTCCTTTGAAGCAAGAGCTGACTGTGAGCCCAGTGGGACCTCAAACTGAGCTATCCACCGGGGGAAGGGGAGGGCTGAGAGAGGGTGTCTTCTACTCTTAGTCCTGGCCAGACCTTCAGGCCAGAGGGAACCCATGCAGCTGTGGGCCCTGGAGGTGTTTGGGGTATGTACACCTGCGTTACAGGTGGAGAACCTGCCCCAACAAGCCCCAATGGTGGGGCTACAAGGACCCCAATGGTAATCGTCCGATGACACTACCCCATGGCCATCAACTTGATCCCCTATCATATGGCAGTTCATGAGGATAAAAAACAGTAGGTCAGTGGCTGTAGAGTTGATGTGGTCTGTCTTTCAGAAGTAGAGTTGCCAGGCCTGTCTTCTAAGGCACTGCTGGTGGGACTCAAACCAACACTCTTTCAGTCAGTAGCCAAGTGTGTTGACCATATGAGCCATCCAGCTAGCAAGGAAGTTTGGGAGAGGTCAGGAGATCCCTTCTGCCTGGCAACTCATGACATCACAAGCACAGCTTTCTCTCATTGGCTTTCCAGACCTCCATGCTTTTGGGACCAAGCCCTGAGCCCAAAGGGAAGTCATTCTGGAAGGGGAGAGAAACGAAAACTATCCTGGAAAGGAGGAAACTGGACAGGAGGGGAAAAGTTCCACTTCTTGGTTTTCCTAAGGAAACAGGATGGTCTGATCTGCCTTCTAACGGTGGTGCAAAAATACTCATTGCCATCGAGGGTGACTTGTGGTGACCCTATGGGACAGGGTGGAACTGCCCCTGTGGGTTCCTGAGATTGAAACTCTTCAGTGAGCAGAAAGCTTCACTGCTCTTAGCAGCCCAATGAGTAGCCATTCCAGGGCCCCTAAGGTGGTGCAAAATCCCCCACAAATCTGCCACCCTCCTGGCTCCCCCTTGTCTCTGCAGGCTCCCCTCCCCAGCGCTACCCCTGACTGAACTTGGTTACTTGCTCAGCCGCCAACAAAAGGTCGGCAGCTGGGATCCACTCACAGCAGTCAGCGTCTTCCATCACGATGGCAGCCTTGGGCACCCTGCAGGGCAGGCCTACCCGGTCTATCAGGTGGCTCAGAGTTGGACTCCACTGAGCAGACAGAGCTCACGTGGAAGTGGAGAGCAGGTGAGCTGCACTGGAATCCTGGCTGCCCTTGCTCAGGTGGGAGACCATGGACAAGTCACTTAACCTCGATGCGGTTTGAGCATCTGCAGGGTTTTCCATCACACGTGACAGGACGTTCCCACCACCTTGGGACCTGTGCCAGGCGGCCTGCTGGGAGCAGGGCTCAGAGATCGGCAAATATGTCTGGAAGGCTCTGGTGCCGGGCCATTTTTGCTGGCTATAAATAGGGTCTCCGGAACCAGAGAGAGCATGCAGCTCTGCTTAAAACTAAAGGCGTTTAAGCCAGAGATGAAACAGAATCCCATCTAGGCAAGAGCTGTGCTTGTGTACAAAGCAAGAGCAACACAGTGCCCCCTGGTGGCACACAGCAAAACCAGAGCCCGCAGCGAAAGGTAAGTCGCGCCTATGGCTCAGGCGGCCTTCAGAAGCAGCCTGCCTGCCTGCCAAAGCCGCTGGACACGTGTGATGCTGTACCCCTCAAGGACTCAAAGTGACTGAAAAGTAAATAAATAAAATTGTGGTTTGTTAACATTTTAAATTTTAGTAACAAAATAAATATGAGGGTAACGTTCCTGTGCTCTCTACCTAACTTAGGCCTTCATCAATAGCACTTATTACCACTCTCAGGGTTAATCGCTAACTTTAGCACCCGGCTTCCTTCCTCTTTCTGCATCTTGAGTACTGGTCCCCTGGCCCTGGAGCAGCCAAGCCTTATCACCCCACCCCCCTCCTTTTATTTCCTCCTTTCCACTTCCTCATTCTTGAATCAATAATACGATTCATCAAAGGCAGGAGCCAACCAGAACTAGCAGGGATCGTGATGCCAAGGTTGCCGGGCAGAAGTGGTCTCAGAAGGTTCCAAACAGAATGGCCTGAGCGCACAGGATCAGGCAGGTTTGGCAACAGTAACTGAACTAATATGGAAAACAGAGGAGAATTGGACAAGGGGCCCTCAACCTACCTAAGTCTGCAACTACGTAGGTGGCCTGAGCTCAAATCAGGCTTCTAGAAGCGGGCTGCCTTAGCGAGGGGCCCAACTGGAGCCGAGTGTCCTGGGTTCAGATCCTGCCTGTGCTACGGTCAATGTAGAATTCATTGGTATAATAATAAAGCCACTAGCCGTGACTGAGGACTTAGCATGCATCCCATGCCCAGCAGGCAGCCACTATCGGAGGGCTATCAGAGTGGCCACACCATTGTGACAGCTGAGACAGAGAGGCCGTGATTCATCCACGCTCACTAGGGACAGTAGCAGAACCTGGACTCCTAGGAGTGGGATTCCCCGGGGTTTTTCAGAGACCACTGCCCTAACAGTCTATATCTGGTTACCTCTCCACCCCCACACCCCACCAACCCAGCTCCTCCTGACTTCTCTGAGCGCCACTTACAAACTCCATTCTGCCTGGCAACAGCTGACATCACGTTTGACTGGATGTCCCCATAGACCACAACTAACTTTTGAGAGATCAGAGAAAGTGGGGGGTTACTGTGGCTGCACCCTGTCTCCCCAGCCCTTTCTTAAGAGGAGCAGCACATGGATGAAGCTATTTTAGGACGAGGAGTGGGGGTCGGGGGTGGGGGGATGGATGGTGATGGTGGGCCCTTGCTTTGCTGCAAAGGACAGGGACACAGCCTGGGTCAACCCTGGGCCCTTTCCAGAAAGTTAGCCAGAGCCCCCCTCCTTACTGGACCCCCCCCCCCCCAACGTCTCTCAGTCCCTCCTGTAACTACAGGTGTCTCCACCAATCCAACAGACACCTACCCCTAGAGTTCCCTTGATCGCACCATTCTGCCCTACCTGTCTGTCAGGAGCTGCTTCTGCCACTGTTTGTCTGAGAAACTGCTTTTCCCTCTGAGAGCCACACTTTTTCAATGCCTGGTCTAAAGTTCCCAGCAAAGTTTCTGGGAAAGGGGCCATCTTTCTCAAAGGGAGCTGGCGGGGGGGGGGGGATGTCTACAAAGCCCCCAGCATTGTCTGCGACACGGTGCGAGTTGTGTTTTTTTCTAGGGAGGATACTCCTCTGACTTCCAGAAGGGAGGTGCCTACTGAAAAGAAGGTTCCAAGCCCCTTCCCCATTTTACAGGAGGAGAAACTGAGGCTCAGAGCAGGCCCAGAAAGTGAGTGCCAGAGGCAGAACCTGAATCCACCCCTCTTGAGATTCCTAGTCCCGAGCTCCTTGGGTGTCTGTGCCCTTGGGGAGAGGACCTGTGTGCCTTTGGGGGCGAGGGGGGGGGGCACCTACCTCTCTGAGCCTCGGGGACGCTCGCCCAGCATGGGTAGCTGCTCATGGTTGGAGATGAGGTCTCGCTGGTCTTCCATGGCCCTGGCCTCTGGTCTTCCCTGTAGCTCCTGCTGCTGCTGCTGCTGCTGCCTGGTGTCTGAGACCCTGAAGCCCGGCGCACCTCTTGAAGCTGGTGCAGAGGAAGAATCTGATTCGTCCACAGCCCATCACTCCGCCCACCTGGGAGAAGTAGAAGCGAAAGTCAGGCTGGAAATACCCTGCTTGGACAACAATGCTTTCCTGGGCTCTGAGGGGAAGGGGCCTCCTCCGGCAGGTGGAAAGGGCAGCGCCCTTCCATTGGCTCCCGGGGTTCTCATCACTTGTTTCTAGGCAGACCTCTGAATCTACCGGGCTCTTTGGCTACTTTGAGAAGCAGGCAAATTTGCACCCTCTTGACTGGAAATCTTTGAAGCAGAAAATGCCATTGTCTTTTCTCCTCACCCATGGATAAGTGCGCAAGGGCTGCTCACCTTGGTGTGAGCTCAGTGGGTCGCATTCTCTGCCTCAGTGATGCCTGATCCCAGAAGTAAGGAGTCCCCTCTGCGCCCTCTGAACTCAGACTTTCATGGGGCAAAGAGGCTGGGGTTCCAAGCATGGGGCCAATAATCACCGCCTTTGTGCCAAGCTGAGGGGCTTCGCTTCCTGCGCTGCCTGCAGAGGCTCTTTGAGGAGTTTTCTATTCCATTACCTTCTGTGAAGACAGGGACACTCACTTGAGACGCTTCCTACCTGCGACTTCGTGGAGGCCGAGTTTTCAGCCACTTGGGTCTTCTGCCTCTCGAATGATCGAACTGTGTGCTGGGAGTTGTGCAAGGGAGTGGAGGGGAGGCAGGGTGGGAGAGAGGGGCAGGACGGGTGCCTCCTGAGATGCCACTGAGATCGTCCTTCTTAGTATCCAAGACCGTTCTAGGGTGGTGGACCGTTCTAGGGTGAATGTGGTTCTTCTAGCCATAGTCCCTGTCACCCAACTCTTTCCCTGACAGGCGTGGGCAGAAGGTAGGGGAGGACACAGAGGATTGGGCAGCGAAGGCTTGTGAACAGGATTCACTGAGCTCCCCATCCCGTAGGGTATAAAAGTAACATCTCAGAAGTGAGGGGGGTCCTTACTACCAGTAAGAGCCAGGCCTGTAGCACATCCTCTGGACCCAGCGGTCCCTGTGCACGAACCTCCTTGATCCTGATCCAGAAGGTAACTTTGACACCAGAGCAGTGACAGAGAAGTAGGACGAGAAACCAGAGCCTGAGACAGAGCACTGGCCCTCCCAGCCCACAGAGCAGGTAGAGCTGTGAGCTGAGGTGCAGTGAGCTGGCGGGTGTGGAGTGAGTGGACTGGCTGCGGCCCTTCGCTCATGGAGCTGGGCTTGCCGACCCAAGAAGCTGGATTGGAGGGCCTTCTGGTTGAGGCTTCCAGCAGAGTGGCATGGCCTTCGGACACTTCTGAGGAACCCTAAAATAACTTTGTTAATGTGTCCTGACTGAGCGACTGTATTCTGAGCATTTCCCCCCAAAATTGTAACCTGTAAACTTCCATCATAAGTCCCCTAACACTGAGCACTGTCTGTGAGTTCTGTGTGGCCACTGCACTGGATGCTAGAGCCTCGCTGAAATGGAGAGTGTTGTGGAGACAGAGCGGAGAGGCTTCCATCACCACTGGATCCACAAGACTTTCCACCCACTGTCCTGTGATCTTCCTGCACTCGGCACCATTGCATGTGTTGCGTGAGTCTGAAGAGGACTTTATAGACTGGTATTGGACATACGGGCTAATGTCAGACTTAGGGACTTGATCTGGACTGGGCTGGGATGTTTTCTTCATTTACAATTACTCTTTGATATAAAGCTCTTTTTAAAGAAATCATTTTATTGGGGGCTCACACAACTCTTATCACAATCCATCCATTGTGTCAAGCACATTTGTACCTTTGTTGCCATCATCATTCTCAAAACATGGGCTTTCCACTGGGCCTGGGTGTCAGCTTAGAACTCCTTCTGTCAGCTGAGTGTCTCTGGGTCTGTCTCTGGTCGACCCAGACAGCTCGGCTGCTCTTGGGTATCGGCTTCTCCTGGGGGCCAGGAAAGCGTCCCGGGAGCAGACAGTGTTGGCGGTTGCACAATCTTGCGAACATATCAAAGGTGAATATGATGCCATGGGAATGCCGTCTCCATGTCCCACACACAGAAGAAAAAAGATCTCTTGGTAACAATGACACACAGGATATATCGACTTTTGCTTCCTTTCCAAACCCCACTAAAATGGCAATAGAGGTGATTTTTTTGTTTTATTTTTGTTGTTGTTTTTTAAATAGGTGAATCAGAAAAAGAGGAAGCTACCATAAAATTTTGGGGGTGCGAGAACAGATGGACTTGTGGTTCGTGCCTTTAGCAGACCCAACCCAACTGAGTCGCAAACCTGTGACTAGGAGCGTTGAGAATCCACCTATTCATGTGGCAAAGGAGACGTCCGATACCTGGGTGGGGAGTTGGGGGTACAGCAGCCAGAGAAGCGTTGGTGGCAGTCTGTTTATGAAGCAGTTGGTTACCATGTCCTCTCCCTCCACTCTTCAAAGCATGGCAGGTGCCCCTCCCGCACAGAGATAAGATTGGGAGTTTATTCCCAGGCACCGTTGAGGATCTGGGTCCTAAATCAGGCCTTGTTGACATATAGAAGCTGAAGTCCCAGACTTTCTCTCCAACCCAGTTCCCAGTTCTCTCCCCAGCTGAGTTCCCAGAATTCCAGAAGTCAGACCTCCATCCTCCAGGGGACAGACTAACAGACCTTCCTCTGGAGAGCATGGTATCCGAGGAGGAAAGACCTAGAGACCCTGCCCTTGGCCACTCCCTGATGAAACAGCCCCAACAGGGAAGCCCCCTATGGGAGCCATTTCTATGCATTTTGTAGACCGCCAAGGATCATGGGGCTTCGGAAGGAACCCTCCAACATGAGAGAGTGAACAAAACAGACCTAGAAAGATCACCACGGGGTGGGGGGGGGACCGATGACAAGGGTCTACATGTGACCTCCTCCCTGGGGGACGGACAACAGAAAAGTGGGTGAAGGGAGACGTCAGACAGGGTAAGATATGACAAAATAACAATTTATAAA